CAATTAACCAAAAGATGCTCTAAAATTCAAGATGGTTAGACCATGAATTAAGTAAGATAAAAAACCTAAAAGAAGTGAGGGAATTTTACTTTAATTCTAGGTTTTATAAAGCCATTAAAATTGTTTTTTAATTGGCAGCAGACTGATTAGACTTGGAGAGCTTTCAGGAACCACTGAAAAGGGTTGTCAATTGAAAGGCCTTAGAGTATTTTTAATTAAAATCATTGGCAAAAAGATGAGAGGCAAGCCAAGTGTAACTACATTTCATGTATCAAGAGGTCTACAAAATAATGCTTTGAGGACAGGTATAGTCAGAATGTGCGTGTAAAATATTTTATAGAGAGTAAAACCAGGGATCTCTAAAAACTGAGCATGAACTCAGAAAAGAAAGGCAAATACAGAAATTTTCATTTTAATGCTTTTGCATCTATTTGCATTTCTGGTATTATAAAAAACACTAGCTTATTATCTTCAACCATGTTTTACATTACTCACATGTCTGGCAGGAGTTTGAAAACTCTCTACAGGACATAAATAATGTAGAACAGACATATTCATACATAATAATCACTTTCTCTATTTGGGCATGAGTGAGGACAGAAAGGGTCTTACACAGCATAAACATGAATGCTCATGTTCAAGAGGAGAGGGATTCTGAGTATATCAATTTTATTTTTAAGATTTTTGTACTTATAGTTCAGAACATTGCAAAAATCATTAGAAATATAGCAAAATATTGATGAAATGGGAAAAGCATCTATGAATTTATATGAGTCATACAATCTTGCCTACTTCTGGCAAAGAAGATAATTTTCCCTATTTAAAAAAAAATCACAGGACTACAGACTTTGGGACTTATCTAAAAAGATTCATTCTTACATCCAAACACCTGCTGCCAACTCTAACATTAATTACCATAATAAATTATAAAGCAAATGAATAATATCCTCTTTCCATAGTATACTATGATTTCAGTTCAATGGGGGAAAATAATATTTCAAATCATTGAAATTATATTTAAGTTTAAAATATTAACTATAATGAATTTCTGACAATCTTATTCCCTAGTTACAATCAAAATATAAATATGTTCATCAGGGGCACGATATTTAGGGAAAAAAAGGCAGCTGAGTAAATGTCAACGAGAAAGCACATTTACAAAAATATGGAGGACACATAGGGTCATTTAAGGATTTAAATAAATCAATCCAGGGTATATTTCATTTGTTCTCTTTTCTCATTTTAAGCAACCACATAGCAAGGGTTATTATTCTTTTTAACTTTTGGAAACAAAAAGTATTTCTATTTTCTTAGGCCGCCTTCTTATCAACTTCAGCATCTTTTGCTTGTGTTCAGGTGTTATTTAAGCCAAAGCTGACTCTGAAATGCAAGAGAGCAGCCCTCATAGTTGCTTTTTTTTTTTTTCATGTTTTGATCTCTAGCCACGCTACTGTTTCATAAGGTCAAAATCCCTCAAAGCCTTGACCTGAATAGCAGTCAAAATTTCAGGCTCTTTATATGAGCATAAACAGATGCCTTGTCATCTCAGTAACAATGCCTATATCCCACTGGATTTTAACTATTACTAGAACTGTGCTCATTCTTTACATCAATCATTTAAAAGAATTTTTAAAAGACCAAGCATACTATGTCATTAATGGGACTATTTTTCCCCCGACAAACATGCTGGAATGCATGCATACAAGTGAGCTCTGTTCTTTAAAGTCAAAACCATACTCTCAACATTCTTGGACTTCTTATGCCATTTTGATCAAATTCAGTCTGACACATAAGAAAAATCAATTTTTGTTTTTAGTTATGAGATACTATTTCTTTTCTTACTCTATCTCCTTTTAATTTCTATTTCCCTGGGTAGCTTCCTTTTTATTTTGTTAAAAGTCCCACACCCCTGGCAATGATTTGGATTGGGTTTCTGATGGTGCATTTTGGGGAAAAACTGAAGAGTGAAAACTGAAACATGAGCTTAAGAAAGGCTCAAGTTTAGTGACTGAGGAAGCAAATTGCTAATATAATGTTGTTTACTTGCTTCTGGTCTGGTATAGGAGTGTAAAACTGTTAAACAGAAAATGTTTAAAAAAATCATAGTGGACTTGGGATTTTCATGGTAGTGCAATGGTTAGGACTTTGCCTTCCAATGCAGGGGTGAGGGTTTACTCCCTGGTTGAAGAGCTAAGATCCCACATGCCTCATGGACATAAAAGCAGAACATAGACAATAGAAGCCATATTGTAACATTCAGTACAGACTTCAAAAATGGTCTAAAGCATCTTTAAAAAAAAATCACAGTGAACTATAACAATCCATCCAGACTCACTAAACAGTATGCCTTGCATATCAAGAGGATCTTTATTTTTTCCCTCAAAATGTTTTCATGTCTATGGCTTCATTTTATCCTCATCAAATCCCAGGGAGCAAGTGGAGCAGATATATGTTATATGTTGGAAATCAATTTATAGAGAATTAAACAAATCAAAGCTAGTACTATTTTATCACAGATTTTAAAAAATCTAAAAATAGGAGGTTAAGTAAGTTGCCCAGGGTCAAAGTCTCATAACTTTTAAGCCAATAAAAAATCAGGCTTCTAAGGTTTTTTTTTAATTAACCAACTAAAATAATCAAACCAGTAAGATTTTGATGACATGCACAAGTATCATTTCACGGAATGAGTATATTTAAATATTACACTGCCAGGAAGGTCTCTCTTCTTCCCATCTCAGGCAGTACGGAGGAACACCAGGATGTAGGGACTGGCGCATATGTCATTGTCTCACCAATTCAATGTTTTCAAAAATATGTTTGGCAGACTTTATCTAAGGCTGTGTGTAGATTATAAGCCTACTGAATGAGATTTTCTGAGCACGGAATCTAGGACCATGCATTTGAATCAGTTTCCCAGGTAACTATCAGGCAGACTCAAGTTTGGAAAACCACTGCCAATAGTGCAAATGGACCAGAGTGCAGCCTGTTGTTAACAGTTACACTTCCATGAATATATCCTTTTAAAGAGATACGTTTCAAAATATCTTTTTCAAATAATGCCAGTCTTTCTTAATATGGTAACCGATCATTTTACAGCACCAATAACCTATGTAGCTGATGGGCATATATTGTAATGATATCACTGATGGTTTAAAAAGTTAACGCTTTCTAATGTATGATATATTTGTTACATAAATGTCAATGGTCATGCAAAGTAGCCAAGGCCAGATTACATATAAGAAGAAGAATCATGATCTGGTGGTAAAATCACTAGTATATCTGCTGCTGCTGCTAAATCGCTTCAGTTGTGTCTGACTCTGTGGGACCCCATAGATGGCAGCCTACCAGGCTCCTCCATCCTTGGGATTCTCCAGGCAAGAGCACTGGAGTGGGTTGCCATTTCCTTCTCCAATGCATGAAAATGAAAAGTGAAGTAGCTTATTTGTATCCGACTCTTTACGACCCCATGGACTGCAGCCTACCAGGCTCTTCCATCCATGGGATTTTCCAGGCAAGAGTACTGGAGTGGGTTGCCATTGCCTTCTCCAGTATATCCACTGCTGCTGCTGCTAAGTCACTTCAGTCGTGTCCAACTCTGTGCAACCCCACAGACGGCAGCCCACCAGGCTCCCCCGTCACTGGGATTCTCCAGGCAAGAACACTAGAGTGGGTTGCCATTTCCTTCTCCAGTATATCCACTAACAGCCCCAAATACAGTCAATGAAATTTTTTATTATTGCCCAATGACTGTATGAGAAATTACTGCAATTGATATTTCTTCAAGTTTTAAATATGAATTTGATTTGAAAAGAAAGATGGAACTGTGATGGAAAATTATGTATGTTAGCTGATCATTTAAATCATGTATTTTGGAAGCAATGTTTCAAATTTCATTTTTTTATCTTTCAACAAACATTTCCTAAATGCCGCTAATCAGATGCCAAGTCTCAAAAAACAAAATTCCCTGCACTGTCTCACAAGAGAGCCGATATAAGCCTAAAGCTATTGAATATGGTTTCAACAAGGGTATGTACACAGTGCATTGAGCTATGAACTGGGACCAATTAGTAAAAGTTAGCCTCTATAACACAAAACAAAATGGCAGAATGTATTAAACACTACTGAACATAATGTTAATCTTTGAATGACTGCCCATGATTCCACCATCTAACCATATCAGATAAAAGAGTTTCAAGTTTAAAAAATACTCCATTAAAAAATATATTACCAAAACTTTTACAATTCTTAACAAAAACCACATGACACTATAAGTATAACACAGATGTTTTCCTAATATACAGCCTATATGTGTTAGTATAACTAAGTTGCATGGTTTTAGGAGTCAACAGTCTATGGCAGAAAATCCACTGATTATAACCTCACTTGTACTAACTGAAAGATATCTTTGGTGAAATCAAAGATCGTGGACCCCAGTCCCGCTCTTTTCAGTGACTTTCCCTGGAGAGTTCACTTTTCCTCCCTAAACTTAATTTTCTCATGTGTAAAATGCAGAGGTCAATTAATGGCCCTCATTATTTCAGGGATCTATGATTTGGAGTTACAGTGTGATGACACAGTTTCCTAGCATTTTGTCTGACTGTCTAAGTCACTCATCCTCATTCCCATTGAATTGGAAAGGATTATCCTCAGGCTGGAGAGGAAATGGCAACTCATCCAGTATTCTTGCCTGGGAAATCCCATGGACAGAAGAGCCTGGTGGGCTATAGTTCATGGGGTCCCAAGAGTCAGACACAACATAGTGACTGAACTATCACCACCCTATAAAGCAATAACTAGTTCAGCCCACCAGCACTCACTCCTCCACCTCTCCCACATTCTCCAGTGTCAAAGGTGACCAAGAGAGCCATATTTTATTATTCAATTAAATACTTAGCAAGGAGTAATCCAGTGACATCCTCTGTAGGGTTACAGTATCACTCTCTCATTGCAGATTTCAAAAATCTCAAGGATAATTTATTAGGTTAATGATTATCACTAACCTGTGCTGAACTCTTTTCAAGTTTTTGGACTAAATTATCCCAGCGCTGGGCAAAGTTGTCCAACCATGCTTCCATCTTTTGGGCAACCAGTGTATTTTTCAGTGTTGAAAGAAGATCTTGGTTGAGTGAGCATAGTTTGTCCATGGTTTGCTTTTTCTTTTCTAGATCAGTTTTTAAAACCTGTTAAAACAAGGAAGAACACAAACTAAACCTTGATTACATTAAAAAATTTTTTTTTCATTTATTTTTATTAGTTGCAGGCTAATTACTTTACAATATTGTAGTGGTTTTTGCCATACATTGACATGAATCAGCCATGGATTTACATGTGTCCCCCATCCTGATTCCCCCTCCCGCCTCCCTCCCCATCCCATCCCTCTGGGTCTTCCCAGTGCACCAGCCCTGAGCACTTGTCTCATGCATCCAACCTGGGCTGGTGATCTGTTTCACCTTGATAGTATACTTGTTTCAATGCTATTCTCTCAGAACATCCCACCCTCGCCTTTACAAAACACTGTAGTTCAATCTGCTTTTGCATGCATTTTCACATTTGTATAGACACGAAAAGATTATAACTCTGCCTGCAAAAGAACAAGAGTTCATAAAAATATAAGTAGAAAATTATAATCCAAATAATGTTCCCAAGAAGTGTGGAGAGAAATAAAAGATGCAAAAGAAACACTTTCATTTTTTTTAGAATAAATAAGGAGTCAGAGGCACTTATGAGCTACCTGAACATTCTTGAAGAACTATCAAGGAAAAAAAGTAGTGTTGGTTCAAAAGATAAAACAGAGATTGACATATGGAAACTACTTATTAATATTTGGAGGTGTTCTAAAGTGAAAGGTAGGGCTCTTGGGTGTTAGTGAATTTCCTCTTAATTTCTGATAGAATTCAAATGAAATGCCACATGCCAAGAGTACCAAAGAGGAGATGGTGAATTGAGAAGATGAACATAGTTAAGATTTCCAATCTAAAATGCTGCGATTCTTTGAATAAATTTGCAATATTTTTTTTATTTCTATGATTTGTACATACTTTTCATTATTCAGATACAAAAACCTTGATATGCAGTTTACTGGCTTTTACATATTTTTAGCATCTGTTATTCAATTAACATTCAGCTATTTGAGTAATTATCTTCTAAAGCTAATTTTAAAGCCCATTAAGTAATAGAATAAAGTAATTGAGTATGGCACAAATCCTTTGGAATCTCTATGCTTGTTTACTAAATGCTTATGTGTTTTATGAAGTATTTTTATATCATTCATATTTCCAAAGTTCCTAGGAGCTATGGAAGGTTACACATGCTCTTTGGTTGATAGAAAATGAATAAACAAAGTGGCATGTGTGAAATTAGTAGATCAGGACAGCTTATTCTTTCATTTTATCCATTAAGGTCACCCTAGGCTTTGGGAAATCCCATTTCCACATCCCCAGTGCTAGACCCTGATTTAATTTGTAAAAACAGACTAAGAAGAAAGAAAGGAGAGAATTATTTTATGGACATTTTACCATCCTCTCTCATTGACAGTAGCAAGTGCAATGAACATAAACTAAGCTGTGAGACCTGTCTTTCCAAAATAAATGCAAATTTATTTAAGAACAACTAACATTGCATATGGCAAATAAATGAGCATGAAACAGATGCACCAATTGCTCACGAACTGAAGTATCATTGACAGAGAGAAATCAATACAGGCCCACCCCCTGCAAAGGACACTTTATGTAGCTCATTTTGGCATGCCACCTGCATTGATAGCTCTGAACTGCAGACGGCTCTGGTGTCTCCTTCAATTAGTTCATCCTTTTCTCAGAATTTGCTTCACCTGGTGTTCTTTATATTGCAATCTTACTGCGAGCCATTTTTAGGGAATAAAAGCAAGTTTTGAAATGCATTTTTAGTTTCTCCTCAATAATTGTCTTTTCACTATGTTTCCTAAGCCTGAAAGAATGCAATAGACCAAAATATACAAGTTGAATTTGAAGAAGAGGAAACAATTTACATTCGAAATTTATGAGTAGTCTCTTGTTACCTGAAAAGGTTTTCTTAGATGATCTATAAAAGTGATTGGATACACAAAGAGATTTAGTGGCAAATGACATGGAGCCTCCTGTGTTAACAATCGACCAAAGAAGAAGCACTTAGTGAACATTACAAAAATAAAGGGGAAATTTCCCATTAAAGAATATAATTAGGAAAAATAACTCAAGGTAAAGTAAAAACAGCATTATTATAAATTGTGCAATTATCAAATCAATAATATTTTTACCCAAATCTGTATGACAAAAACACTGTACTAGCCAAGGCTTCTTTCTGGTAAATTCTCTATCTAGTTTATCAAATGTTGATAGCAGGATAGTTGTTCTGCCTCAGTGTGTTTCCTCTTGTTGGCTCTGAACCAATCTCTCTCCCAGTCTTTCTTCATCTCATAATCTCCAAATTCCTGAAGTACTCTCCCACCATAACTAACAGGAAAAAAACAGGAAATCCATGGTGGTGCCAGATACAATGTATCATAGCAATGAATTACCTTCTCCCATCTATCCTTAGACAGAAATTATTCTAAGCTTGGATTTTGTGTATATTAAATAACTACAATTTAGTTGTTACTAAATTTTTGTGTATTAAAAGGACATATTTTTGCATCCTAAGAACTGACTATAGATCTTTGAGTGCCAGAGAACTAGAGTTTTAGAAAATTCAGACGGCAAAAAGAAGCTCTAGAAAATGTGTACAAGGCAGAGATCAGCTAGGCTTTTAAAAGAAGAAATATAATTTATTTTCATAGAAGTGAGGTACCTGGACAAACCTCCAAGGTAAACAGGAAAGAACAGCCAATAAATCAGATTGGACAGCAGTAGAAATGGGCAAGTAATAGATAAGCTGCTCAAGAAGACAAGATAAACATGTTCTATATGGTCAGGGTTAGATGATTTGAAATGAAAAGAGAATGTATGCTTGCAAAAGGCCCACAAAGTCATCACCTTATTCTCATCAGACGGACACTTCGGAGACCAATGCCAAGGTAATTTCTCATAAATTGGCAAAACTGAATCCTGTACCTATTTTATGAGTAGTTATCTATATGTAAGAAGTATTCTGGTGGCTCAGTGGTAAAGAATCTGCCTGCCAATGCAGGAGACATGGGTTTAATCACTGGATCGGGAAGATCCCCTGGAGAAGGAAATGGCAACCAACTCCAGTACTCTTGTCTAGAGACTTCCATGGCCAGAAGAGCCTGGCGGGCTATAGTCCATGGAGTCACAAAGAGTCAGACACAACTGAAGCGACTAAACAACAACAAGACAGAGTGATCCAATTCTTTCTAATCACCTGTTGTTGTACTTAGGTAGATTGATCCACTGTGGGGGTTTCTCATCTTGAGGGAGCATAAGAATCGCCAGGAAGGCTTGGGAACTGGAAGACTGCTGGGCCCTATGCTTCCAGAGTTTATGAATCAGTAGGCCTGGGATGGGGCCTAAGGATTTGCCTTTCTAAGGAGTTCCTAGGTAATGCTGCTAGTCTAGGGACCACACCGTGAGAACCACTGATACTATCTAGAGGAATTCTTTGAGGGTGATCACTGAAGCTGAGGTTAAGTTACCAAGACCTGGTGAAACAGCGCTGTTCACAGGGATTTTTTTTTTTCATTAATGTAAAGTTTATTAAAGTTCTTTTTTTTTTCCCTAACTGGAGTGCTTGCCTGGGCAAAGCCAGGGCCTGGGCCCTGGCAGGCTGGGGTCCATGCCTGGGGAGCCCGGCTCAGCACCGGGGACGCGGCTGGGCCACGCGGTGTCTCTTCATTCCTAACCAGACCACGGACAGCAACTTCAGTGACCATGGAGGTTCCCCTTGCTGTCCTTGCTGGTGCAGAAGACACTCACTGCTGCTCACCCATCTCCTGGGCTTTCTGCAGAGTGTGATTGTTTTTCAGGTTTTTTTTCCATTTATTTTTATTAGTTGGAGGCTAGTTACTTTACAATATTGTAGTGGTTTTTGTCATACATTGACATGAATCAGCCATGGTTTTACATGTATTCCCCATCCCGATCCCCCCTCCCACCTCCCTCTCTACCCGATCCCTCTGGGTCTTCCCAGTGCACCAGGCCCGAGCACTTGTCTCATGCATCCAACCTGGGCTGGTGGTCTGTTTCACCCTAGATAATACACGTTTCGATGCTGTTCTCTCGAAACATCCCACCCTCGCCTTCTCCCACAGAGACCAAAAGTCTGTTCTGTACATCTGTGTCTCTTTTTCTGTTTTGCATATAGGGTTATCATTACCATCTTTCTAAATCCCATATATATGTGTTAGTATGCTGTAATGGTCTTTATCTTTCTGGCTTACTTCGCTCTGTATAATGGGCTCCAGTTTCATCCATCTCATTAGAACTGATTCAAATGAATTCTTTTTAATGGCTGAGTAATATTCCATGGTGTATATGTACCACAGCTTCCATATGCATTCGTCTGCTGATGGGCATCTAGGTTGCTTCCATGTCCTGGCTATTATAAACAGGGCTGCGATGAACATTGGGGTGCATGTGTCTCTTTCAGCTCTGGTTTCCTCGGTGTGTATGCCCAGAAGTGGGATTGCTGGGTCATATGGCAGTTCTATTTCCAGTTTTTTACGAAATCTCCACACTGTTCTCCATAGTGGCTGTACTAGTTTGCATTCCCACCAACAGTGTATGTTCACAGGGATTTGCCAAGCTCCCATATGTGCTCTGTCCCTGCCATCTTAGCTTGCAGACACTTGATAGTGACCTAAACCCACAGCATTCCTGTAGTCCCTGAACACCACACTCTCTTGGATCATCAACTTTCCCAGAGTTGTCCTTTGCTGGCAAATTCCACAGCAACAGTACTTTTCCACTGGAGCCTGTTTCTTGTTAATTTGGGCCTTCCCACAAGAGCCTACTTGATTCTTCCAGTCTTAGAATTCACCTCAGTTTCTTCTTTCCTTTCATTTTTATTCTTTATGCCAAATAAAAACTCAATTTGGATGATAGAACAATAATAAGGCCCACATGATTTGGATAAAAAAATGTATCAGGAGGAAATCAAATACTTGACTCCTCTTCTCTCACCTCACATGAAAAGTAGGAGAAAATCCCATGGGTTATTAGTGGTAATATTTCAAAACAAATTACACTGATTGTAAATAAAAGAGAGA